AATCATGTGTATAATATCTGTTTAGGTCAAATTTAGTAATTGATATAAAACTATTTTTAAATTAACTTCCCGTTAAGCTAGAGACTAGTAACTCATAACTTAGCTTAGAATCAAATGACAGTATAAGAATATGAAAAATAACGTGGTATATCATTTTTTTTTAATTTGTTATGAGTAATAAAGATGAGTCATATTTTAATTCAAATTATAATTTAAGTTCCAATATGTATTAAATCAAAATACTAGCATACATGTTTATTGTTTAAGTAGATAAACCAGGAATTATGGCGCCACCTTGTCTGTTGGAAGGTATTTATCAATGAGCGCTCGGCGTGGACAAGATAACGCGAGGCGATGCTACTTATTGCAGATTTATTACATCTAAACGAGATACGTGACCGTTTTCTTTTATCACTACTAAGCTTTAGGTGTTATAGTTTAAGTAGTGACATATTTTTACAAAATAGCAATTTAGCTATTTCTACATGGAAGAGCAATACTGCAGATATATTACGGTTGTAGCACGAATGGGTCTGCGCGACCGGGGTAGGACCACGCTCTCACATGATACCAGCATTAAATAGCAGCTGAATGCTGTTGTGTTTCGTATGGTGGGTGTAAAGGACCGGAGACACTTTTTACTATATACGGGGCATTCTATCTTAGTCCTCAAGGATTACGACGTATTATATATTATTGATTCTTAATCGATTATAAATATAGATGTCAATGGGCCACAGTATTTTCTATAAAAAAGCTAGTATCGGCTCAACAAAACATATTAAAAAAGTTTATTATACATCCGCATGTCGCCAGCAGCGGCTGTCGTTTCTGCATCTGCCTCGCTTTTATTACCTTTAAATCACCATAAAAGTAATCACGCTCAATCCGGGGTATAGTTACAGTTGTGCGAGACGCGTAGCCGCCATGTCGCCGCCGTATTTTCGTCTTGGCGTATTATTTTTTAGAATAAGGGTGACAAACGAGTACACACATTCTACTTGATGGTAAGTGAATGCTATGGCCCATAGACCTATATATGGAAGAGAAGGCCAAACTGGCCTCTAAAAAGCATGGCGTGCTCAGCAGAGCGGGACGGTATTTCATGCCGGCACACCGCCTGCAACTTTACAAGGCGCAGGTTCGGTCGCACATGGAATACTGTTCCCATCTCTGGGCTGGTGCTCCCCAGTACCAGCTCCTTCCACTTGATCGCATCCAGCGCAAAGCGGCTCGTATCGTCGACGACCGAGTGCTTTCCGATCGGCTCGATTCACTGGCACTGCGAAGAGATGTTGCATCTCTTTGCATTTTTTTTCTCATATACCATGGAGAGTGCTCTGAGAAATCGTTCAGATTAATCCCAGCCGCCAAATTTCGTGAACGCACTACACGGCGAACGTCCCGATACCATCCACACCATCTGGATGCTTGGCGGTCCACCACTGTTTAACGTTTCAAAAGGAGTTTTCTTCCGCGTACGACCTCACTGTGGAATAGTTTACCACCGGCGATTTTTCCGGACCGATACGACCTGGGGACCTTCAAGAAAAGAGCTTACTCCTTTCTAAAGGGCCGGCACCGCACCTGCAATTCCCCTGGTGTTGCGGTTGATCATGGGCGGCGGTAGTCACTTAACATCAGGTGAGCCGTATGCTCGTTTGCCCCTCTTCTATAAAAAAAAAAGACAGACACCTACATGTGTCCTCAATTACGAATCAAAATGCAAATGTGTTATCACCCCTAAGGACTAGGATGGAATGCCTCATATCAAGTAAAAGTCTCCAAATCCCCAGCTGAGGAATTCCGGCCTCATGCGTTAGCAATATAATCTCACATCTCTTCCAAACAATAAAACCAAATTGATGGATATTCAGCGGGTCGCTCCGTATTCCATCGCGAAATATTTTAGTGCAACTTGTGGCGGAACTTTTTGTTCAATTCCCGAGCGGCTTGGAACACTAAACCTTTATTGATTTATAGCATGGACTTCGGCGGTTTTGTGTCTACATTATTAGATATATACGCCTTCTAATCCTGGCCTACTGGGATGATTAGTTTTTATCTGTGAAGGTTAACGTGAACTGGGTTGAAAAGAATAAATAATTTAGGAATAACACTTACTAATATACAAACATAAATAAATATCGTATGCCTATAATCTCCGAGGGAGTAGGCAGAATCCGAAGAGCAGTGAGAAACTCAGATTTAGCCAAGAAATCGTAGGATACTGGCTCATTACCTACACAATGTATATACTGTACTGTGTACTACTATAATAATAACATACTTTATAATCATATTACTAAATGCGGATAGGATATCTTTTTATGATGGAAGAAGTGTACAAGTTGTAACACGAACTTTACAAACTTTGCTTAAAAGTATATAATTATGATAACATTGACTGACTTCTAAATGGTCACAACTTTGCTAATATTTGGTGCAGCGTACATATTAAGCCAAAATCTTGTTATGTGATTCATCATCATCATTACAACATTTCACAAGTCCTCTGCTGAACACAGGCCTCCCCCAAGGAATGCCACAAAGCACGGTTCTGACCCACCAGCATCCATCGACTTCCTGCACGCCTTACCAGGTCGTCACTCCATCTAGTAAGGAGTCGCTCTACACTTACGCCCTACACTAAAGGTTCTCAAGTGGCAGCCTCGTAGGTACTAGCTGCCACTAGAACCTTTTTTCCCACCGGTTATCGGTTCTTCGAGCTAAAAGTCGGCCCATTGCCACTTCAGCTTACTAATCCGTTAGGTTATACTCGTATGTCGGTCACTCTAGTTTTATCTGCGGTCATCCTCATTTCTAAGTCCTAGTCGGACTATTTGTCCCAGGTAAAACTGATGAAAAAATTTGAAGAATTCAAAGGCTTTCTCAACGCAAGGCAAAGTAGCAGCTTGTACTCTTCGGTCTTCTGCACAATTTTCTAAAGGGCATGTATGTGGTCTATGGTGCTAAAGCCTTTTTGGAAACCGTCCTCTCCAGGAAGCTGGAAGTCGTCAAGTCTGCGTGTAGGATACCGGTCTGTAGTTCTTTGTCGCCTTATTTGAAGAACAAGACCACCGCACTTCTGCTTCATGCCTCCGGAGTAGGCTCAACACCGAGGACGGAATCAAAGAGTTCCTGAAGGAGTTCAAGTAAGCTGTTTTTAACGTGCATCTAATACTGCATTCAATCTTTTCAATGATCTTTCGCATAGGGGACGTGTGTCATATGGAAAATCAATACAACTGTTTGCCTGTGTATTTGCTTGTACATTAGATACAGCAATAAAAATCTGCCCCAGAACAACGATAACATCATGTCAGGTTGTATTACTATTAAAGTTACAGCTTGTTCGTAGTAGTGGCGGTGTCAGAATATCCACTACCCCATGTTGTCCCGTGAACGTTGTGTGTGGAACTGGAATAAGAGGTGGATGATAGCAGTATAGTTGTAGCACGAATGTGTCAGCTCGACTGGGGAAGGGCCATGCTCTCACAGAATGCCAGCGTAAAATAGTAGCTTAAAGCTGTTGTATTTTATATGGTGAGTGTAGAGAACCGGAGACCCTTTTTACTGGGAACGAGGCATTACATCTTAGTCCTCACGGGTGACAACGCATTTGCATTTTGATACATAATTGCAGATACATGTCTATGGGCCACAGCAACCACTCACCATCAGGTACACTGTGTGCTCGTTTGTCCCCCTGTCCTACAAAAGAGCGTCTTCCTAATGACAACTCAAAATTAAAAGAACTTCGGTTGCCAAGCTTTTCAACTACGGTAACATCCGCCCTATGACTATATACGTTTCTTAGATTCTGATTATATATATATATATATATATATATATATATATATATTTTTTTTTTTAAGGACGGGCCATAAACAGTACACAGCAATGAACTTTTAAAAATCTAATTTTAACAATACAGCTTATATAGTACCACTGCTAGGAACAGACCTTCGCTAATCCCTAAGAGCAATTCCGTCGCGGAGCTCCGAACTTGGCGACTCTCGGCAATGGTTTCTGTGGTTTCTAGATAGGCGTCTTCACGGTGTTTTCCTACATCACCGAGCACGAAGTAACCGTTACCGTAACGAGAGAGCCGGAGTGGCTTTGTGAGGGGGGGAATTTATAGGGGAAATATTCGCTATGGGTTTCGGGCTGTTCAACCGCAGATTTTTTTTTATTTTTAGTCGTTATTTATTAGTAAGACGCTACTGTCCATCTCCTGATTTTGCTACCTCTGTCGGCTCTAACGACACCTACGTGCTGGTATGGGGCAGTGGATATTCTGCACCGCCTCTGCACCGCTCGAAATATATCTTAAACCTGCAAATAACGTCATTGGTGTCGACGGGGATCAAACCCGGTTTGCTTGCGTACTGTAAAATGCGGGAGCATTTATTCCCTGAGCCACAGCTCTCACACGCACACATTACTATTATAATAAAAAATTAACAAATTTAATAATTAATAAGAGAACTTTGGCGTATAGTGGTTGTGTAAGAATATAAAATAGAACAGTAAAATAAGTTTTTATTCAATATAGATTACATGTAATTCTTAGTTAAAGGCATTTTTTACTTTTACCAAAACCTTTTTAACAGAATCCATTATCCTAAGCAATTACTTGGGTATCGTAAAGAAGTGATATTTGGAAACCAAAACATGATATGAATATGAGAGAAGTGTGGTATCGGCGTAACTACCCTACATCATCCCGTGGGTGTCGTTACAGGCGTCAGAGGGAAATTAAAAAAGAGATGGGCAGCAGCATTTGTCCGACTCATTCAGCCTATAGAAGTCCACTGCTGAACACAGGCCTCCCCTCGTAGATTGGCTCATGAGGGGACTTTGATTCTTATTTGAGAGCAGATGTAGATGTAGATGTCCATGAATCACAGCATCTACTTAGCCTCAGGGGACTGTGTACTCGTTTGTCACACTATTTCTATAAACAAATTTATTAAGACCCTCGTGGTTGTCGGCAGGGTGCTGAAGCGGAACCGCATCGCGTACATCGACGAGCGCGCCTTCCTCAACACGCCGGCGCTGCGCGTGCTGTGAGTACCGAAAATGGCAAGCGTCACAACCGGGCCTCGAATATTATATTGCATAACAATATTCTCCGTACTTTGAAGAATATACTGGATTTCGTACTTTTATATTTAAAAATAATTAATAAAATCAGGCTTCACCTTGTGGAAATCCATTGTATCAAAGTTGGTAAGAATTACCTCGCACATATCCGCTCAATGAAATAAAATGATGTTTCTTAGCTAGTTTAAGGAGCACCTCCCGCCCTACCCTTAATTGCGTGAACTATCCCCATCACCACTAATCCCACCACCACTACTAACACCACTACACTAGGAATGACAAACCACTGTCGATAATACGACAGGTGTTTCACATCTACACGATATATCCTCAGGTAAAGTAGACTTTGCGGTGGCTGACCGCTAAGTTATTTAAATAAACAAATAAAACGACATATGTTTCATCAGTCCAAGCATGTTAGGAGTGTTGCCATTGTTCTTTAGAAATAAACATAACATACAACTTAATATTAATATGCTACCATCAATTAGAGGAGACTGATGTCTATACTAGAATGGTGATAATGATCTTTCATACAGATGAAAGAACACCAGCCACCACGTAATACCATTATATAATCTGTAATCAATTAAAATCAAATTCAATTGACGCGATGTCCAGCTATCAGATACCTATATAATTAAACGTATTGCTTTTCGAAATAAATTTAAAGCTCACTGCTTTCTCTGTACTCGGACACATATTAAATTATTTTTTATGTCAGATGCTAATTCTTATGAGTGTACTATAAAATATCTTTAAAAGCTCTACATATTTATAAGTTATTGTACCGCCTGAAATTTTCTAACTCTCTGCCGTTAATAACTATTTCAAAAATCTTACTCAAAAACCTAGTACTAATAATCCTGTGGCGAGCCTTGGACCTCTGAATATTTTGACGTGACAACGTCTAATAAAACGATAAACGCCAGCTGCATGCACGAAAAAGTATGACTCTGTAACGTTGCGGTCAATGTAACGTTACGTACGGAGCGAGAGCGCTGCACGAGCGAGCGAAAGGCACGATCGGCTTGAGCGTTTGTCTTGCACCGCATCTATCTCTCTTTCACAAAGCGTGCCAATCATTTCATCAATGTTTTGTTATGACGTTGTCACGTTAAACTATCGTCCGTAAACCGACTTTACAGACAACCAATTTTTTCAAACGTCTAAAACCGTATTAGTTAAGGTTCAAAGTATTAATTTGCAGGTTTGGCTTGAACTAATAATTAGATTACATACAGCCTGGCAGGTTATATGTAGCTCAATTTTGTTTTTGTTTTTACGTTATATATTTTATTTAAATGGATTCGAGAGCAAAATTTCGTTTTAATTAGGTTTGCTGTACTATAGTAGCTCACAGGAACAAACCATATTGTTATGGCTTTTTTTATATTTAATTTGCTATATTTTTGCTTTTAATTTAAATTATGGTTAGTGTAAGATAATTATTATTATATTTCATGTGTTTTTTCTTGTATATAAAAATTGATTTAAAAAGCATCAGTCAAGAGCCCAAGACGCTCCGATAAAATTCTTAACGCTACCGACGCTTTACATATACCGAATCCCAAAAAGGTTCCGAATGAAATCCCTTTAAGGCTTTTACAGATTTTTTTTATCTATAAAATGAAATACCACATTATCCTATCATTTTATGGTTGAAAGTATGAATGCCTCGATACGTCTTTTTGTCGATACGATACGGATACCGATGCTCTTAATAAGCGTATCAGCGACACCGATACTGATACCAATGCTCTTATTGAATTCAAAAATGAAGGTAAAATATACGAAACAGGTTCTTTTTTAATTAATATAAAAAACAAATAACAGGACAAACCAAATAAAAACGTTTAAAACTCTAGAAAGGTTGAGATTAGTAAATAGTTTTAGTAATTAAAAGGAAAATTAATGAGATTTTTGTTTAAAAACCAAGTACACTTGAGTTTTTCGGAGAAAGGCGATTTCGCAAATCTGTTTGAATAAGATCTGCGGTGGAAAATAGTCTCTCAGATGCGACAGAACTCATTTGGAAACTAAAGTACTTCTACGCCATTTAGTTTGGGTATAAGACGTAGTTGCACCAGAAAACGAACGGACCTGCGCCGCTCAATATATTAGGAGACCTTAGGTATCTCTCTACTTCTTATTTGAGAGAATCACAGCTCAGAGTAGACAGGAGAAACAAGGAAAAAAGACACTGAATAAAGCGCGGGGTTTCTCCGAGCAAGCCTTAAGCTTTCGCTCGCTCTTGAAGCGCTCTCACCCCGATCGTAACGTTACAGTGAACGTAAGGCTACAATGAGTCGTTTGAGGCTTTTTCATGCGTGCAGTCGGCGTTCATCATTTATTAGACGTTGTCACGTCAAAAATATCGCCGATGCCGATATATCGGCAAACTTTCAGTATCGCCGATATATCGGTATCGGATGCATCCCCAGTTGTAAGCTACTTAAGTTATCGCTGAATGCCAAGATTTGACTGTGGGGTAAGTTACTTACGATCTTTTTTTATCAGTCTCTCTAAAGATTGGTGCATATGTTCGTACAAATAAATGTGCAGTATTTCATAAAATACAGGGGTGACTCAGAAGCTGTAATAACTGTCGTTGATGCCGACGTATAGTAACCTAATGAATTATTAGTATTTGTATTGGGTAGAAAATACATTGAATAGATCGCATTCTTGCTGTCAGTCGGTGGTATTACACACAACCACGATTCATCATATAGCCAACTACACGGAGTATTTATTTAAAGTAAGCATAAAAAACGTAGTAAAGGTTCAGATAAATGATGTAACAGTTTTGTCGCTGTCTTCGCTTGTCGCAATTAGCTTTATTTAACAATGCAACGTATGACTCACAAACCGCTGTAGAAAGGGTTGCCAGCTCCCGTTTTATGTTTTAAAGGATTTGGTAAAATTAAATGAAGAGCATGGGATGGAAATAGAGGGTATCATAATGTTTTCAATCAAATGATTTTATTATGGTATCAGTAGCTATGTTTCTTAATAAAAAAAGCAATATTAATACACAATGTCACATAATTTTTCTCTCTAACATCGCGCGTCACCTCAAAGTAATTTTTAAGCTCTATAACCTCAACTATCAAAGCAATTTATACATGGTAGAGCCATGCTGCAGTTATATTAGTAGTATAGTTATAGCACGAATGGGTCAGCTCGTCCGGGGAAGTACCACGCTCTCACAGAATCATCATCATCATCATTACAGCCCTTCACAAGTATGAAATAGCCCTCCTCCAAGGTATGCCACAAAGCACGGTCCTGAGCCACCTGCATCCATCGACTTCCTGCATGTCTTACCAGGTCGTCACTCCATCTAGTGGGGGGGTTGCGCTACACTTCGCCTACCGGTACGAGGCTGCCACTCGAGAACCTTTTTTCCCCAACGGTTGTCGGTTCTTCGAGCTATATGGCCGGCCCATTGCTACTTCAGCTTTCTAATCCGTTGGGCTATGTCGGTTATCTGGTTCTACTGCGGATAACCTCATTTCTAAGTCTATCACGCAAATAAACTCCAAGCATAGTTCTCTCCATAGCTCGCTGAGCGACTTTGAGCGTCCTTATACGGCCAGCAGTGAGAGACCACGTCTCGGTTCCGTAGGTCATTACTGGCAACACGCACTGGTTGTACAACTTAGTTTTCAGGTTTTGTATGCCAGCGTCGTAATTTCCCGAACTCTGCCAGAATACCAGCGTAAAATAGTAGCTTACTGCTACTGTGTTTCGTATTATGAGTATAGAGAACCGAAGACCCTTTTTACACCGCACTTTTGGTGACAACGCATCTGCATTTTGATTCGTAATCGAGGGTAGATGTAGATGTCTATGGGCCATAGCATCCACTTACCATCAGGTGGACTGTGTGCTCGTTTGTCACCTTATGATATAAAAAAATGTCGAATATAATATTTTGAAATTAGGGGACAAGATCAATTTTTAGCCGGTATATAGAGGATATCCTTTAAAATAAAAGACGTCTGGCAACCCTAGCTAAAGATAATATAGTGACTTCAGTGTGTGGTAGCACACGACGCCACCGCTTGCTGCCTTCGCTTACAAAACACAAATACCCGTCAATTATTTAAGGTAAGATCGTTTTAACTGTCGGGGCGATTGCCGATCGCCGGAGATGGAGGATAAACGTTTCTTTAATATGGATTGGCACACTTCCAAAATTTTAATGTGATAACTGGTAAAAGATTTTCAGACAATTTTAGCCCTCTGCCTCATAATTTGTTATTTTATGATATTTTTGCAACTTAATAAGCAAAACGAAGCGGGCAATTCGTATAACGTGCGAGCACGATACATTTAGTCCATAACAAATTGGTTTGGTACAATACTCGTGTTAACCACAAAAACCAATAACTAACATGAGATGTTAAATACATTAACTATTCATAAACTTAGAAAGTAAATGATTAAATATGTAAATTGATAGAATATAATGATTTCTTATATTTACGCGAACACTATACATTGATTAAAACTACTTTTACGGATTTTATCGCGTTTTATTTATATTAATTTTAATACCCGACGTTTCGAGTGCTTTCCAGCACCCATGGTCACGGGGGACTGAGATGACTGACGTCCCGATGTCAAAGTTAACCCGGAGTACCTTCAGCTTTTTAATTATTGTCTTTGGTCCGATCTACGCAGAATGAACTAACTGTATTTTGAAGTCTTGGAGTGGTATGCTTGGGTTTAGTTTTAATTTTATTAATTATAGGATCCCAGGCAGGTGGTAGTACCCAGCCTCCTTCTCTATTGAAATTAGGATGTTTTTTAATTTCAATAGCCTCACGTATCATCCTTGGTAGGAATCGATGTTCTTTCGCGAGGATTTGTGGTCCATAAAATCTGATGTAATGGTTAGGGCCATCTAGAATATGATCGCAAACTGCAGACTTCCCGGAACGTTGATGCTTCACGTCAGCTATGTGTTCTTTTACGCGGGTTCTAATTGATCTCTTTGTTTGCCCTATATATGAGAGACCACAATCACAATCAAGCTTGTACACTCCTGTATCTTGTAGAGGAATATGACACTTGACGGATTGTAAGAACTGACTAATCTTCTTCGGCGGCTTGTAGAATGTTCTAATAGAAGCTCGCTTCAAGATGAAGCCAATCTTGTCTGTGACACCTCTGATATATGGTAGTATAGTAGGCACACGCTCGACTGTGGCCGGCTTCACTCGGTCACTGTGACGGAGGCGCGGGACCCGAAGCTTGTTGTCGTGCAGAACCTGCTTGGCGTGCTGAAGCTCGGCGGCCAGGTGTTTGCTGTCCCGTATGAAGACATTATCTGTAGTGTTGAGGATTGTCTGTATAAAAATAATATTGGTAATGAAGATTTAGAGGCCATACGCCAAGACATTTCGTCTATGTTATGTCGAAGTACAGCGCCGAAATTAAATCTTCCCAAAAATGAATTTAACGCGTTAAAAACCTTACGCAACAGACCAGATCTTACGATTCTCCGCGCAGATAAAGGAAATGCTACGGTTGTAATGGATACGTCGGATTACAATTTTAAAATACAACAACTTTTGTCGGATGAAAGTACATACCGTAAGGTCAAAACAGACCCTACAACTAATACGCTTAAAACAACTAGCGATCTAATTAAGAAATACTCCGAGAAATTGAATCTAGACCTCAATTCGATGATACCTTCGTGTGCAAAACCTCCCAAGTTGTATGGGTTACCAAAAATACACAAACCTAACCCTCCATTACGTCCAATAGTGAGTCAAATCGATTCGCCAACGTACAGATTGGCTCAACACTTAGCCAAAATATTATCACCACTCAGAGGACACACAAGAGCACATACTAAGGATTCATACCATTTTGTCAGTGACATAAAAGACCTACGTCTTGCTGACAATGAAACCATGGTCAGTTTTGATGTTCAGTCTCTATTTACATGCCTACCTGTTGAAGACTGCATCTCAATTATAACTAGGAAACTAGATGAAAATAACATGCCACCAGAATATGCAGTACTACTAAGACATTGCCTTACATCTGGCTATCTATTGTGGAAGGAAGAGTTTTACAAGCAAGTAGATGGTGTTGCGATGGGCTCACCTGTATCTTCCATTGTCGCCGATATATTCATGGAAGACTTTGAAGAGAAAGCCCTCCTTACTGCACCTGTTACCCCAAGGTTCTACAAGCGGTACGTAGACGATACATTCACAATTTTACCATCAGACAAAGTAACTGCATTTTTAGAACATCTTAATTCCATAAACCCTAAAATTCAATTTACTATGGTGTTAGAGGCAAATAATTCCTTATCTTTCCTAAATGTGTTAGTCATCCGAAATCCTAACAACACCATAGGTCATACTGTGTATAGAAAAAAGACCCATACAAACCGATATTTAAATGATGAATCTCACCATCATCCTTCACAGTTAGCTACCGTGGGCAAATCTTTGTTTCAGAGAGCACGAGGGATCTGTGACAGCAATCACCTGGCCGCCGAGCTTCAGCACGTCAAGCAGGTTCTGCACGACAACAAGCTTCGGCTCCCGCGCTTCCGTCACAGTGACCGAGTGAAGCCGGCCACAGTCGAGCGTGTGCCTGCTATACTACCATATGTCAGAGGTGTCACAGACAAGATTGGCTACATCTTGAAGCGAGCTTCTATTAGAACATTTTACAAGCCGCCGAAGAAGATTAGTCAGTTCTTACCATCCGTCAAGTGTCATATTCCTCTACAAGATGCAGGAGTGTACAATCTTGATTGTGATTGTGGTCTCTCATATATAGGGCAAACAAAGAGATCAATTAGAACCCGCGTAAAAGAACACATAGCTGACGTGAAGCATCAACGTTCCGGGAAGTCTGCAGTTTGCGATCATATTCTAGATGGCCCCAACCATTACATCAGATTTGATAGACCACAAATCCTCGCGAAAGAACATCGATTACTACCAAGGATGATACGTGAGGCTATTGAAATTAAAAAACATCCTAATTTCATTAGAGAAGGAGGCTGGGTACTACCACCTGCTTGGGATCCTATAATTAATAAAATTAAAACTAAACCCAAGCATACCACTGCAAGACTTCAAAATACAGTTAGTTCATTCTGCGTAGATCGGACCAAAGACAATAATTAAAAAGCTGAAGGTACTCCGGGTTAACTTTGACATCGGGACGTCAGTCATCTCAGTCCCCCGTGACCATGGGTGCTGGAAAGCACCCGAAACGTCGGGTATTAAAATTAATATAAATAAAACGCTATAAAATCCGTAAAAGTAGTTTTTATCATTGATAGAATATATTATAGAACTTATCTGTGCTCTCGAACATTCACTGCCTTAGTCCCTGCAAGGTCCTTGACCATTATGTAGTATCTTACGCGACACCAACCTACTATTAAATTAAAATAGATTCTAAATTAAAATTGCACGGAAGATAAAATACAGACAGTTAACATTATTGAAATAAATTCAATTAAAAATAAAATAGTTATTTGTCTTGCTTTGTATATAATATTTAAATATAATGTAAATAAATTACAAGCATTGACTGAAATTTCGACAGAGTTTTATAATTTTATTAGTAATGCTATTTAATTAATATAGTCGTATAAGTGAGACAGAAGCGATAAAGTTCAATTCAATGAACAAATTGCCAAGTTTAATACGGGTAACAATACAAGAACTCTTGACAACAACGAGCCTTTGAGTTTAAACATTCAAAGCTACGAGCGCATACCCAAGGGACGATAAATGAGGCAAAATATTAGCACTAAAAGTTCAACGGCTGCGTTAATTTACCCAAATTTAATTTGGTATAACGTACCTCCAAGAGTACACATGAAATCATTGCGATAAAGTATACACACAGCGATAAGATAAGATAAGATGCTTTATTTGTCAGAATATGGCACACTTCCAAACCTTACCTACCTACTTCCTTACTGTTGTTACAAAAGAATTTCGATCCTAAATATTCTGCCATTTCCGGCGTACAAATATTTTCAGATAGATAATTTTTGGAATAAAGTAGAAAACTAAGACATTTAATTATTATATAGTATAAAGATACTTGCAGCAATACTTATGTAAATTAATTCTATATAAAACAAGAATATCAATCAATTCATAATATTTTTAGTTAAAACATTTCAAAAAATTAAATTCAGCAATTCAATAAATACAATTCGAGTCAAATTTATCATTTAAGAAGTCATTTATTGAGTAATAACATTTATTTAAAAGAAATTGAAATAATTTACATTTAAAGACTCCTGTATTCATCTTTTTAAAACAAACAGGCAATTTGTTGTAAACATGTGTTGTGAACAAGTGTTTATATGGCCTACAAATAATTGTTCCGTGTCTGGAACAATTATTGATCTTTGTAAAATTTGCTTGTAAACTCCCTCCACGATAAAGGAGAAAAACCTAGTTGGGGTAAAAAAAATGTCCAGGTCCTTTCCAAAAAAATATGTTCAAGTCCAAACTTTATATTTAGTGTAAGCTTGTTTAAAGCCCCAATGAACGACAAAATCTCATCAATTAGCAAAAACAAGAGAACCCAGGAGAACTGTGGTCTTTCTTTAAACCCGATTTACACTTTCATTAACAACATTTATACAACGTATAATTAGGTAATAATACAATTATAATTGTGAAGTAATATTTTAAAATGTCAGTTTTTACTAAATAAAAATAACAGTGACCAGTGACAAATGCAGAGTAACTGTTGGCGTCGAAAGCATAAAATTAGCATTTAAATCAATGTTTATGAACCTTAAGACAGTGTGTGAATGTACGAATGTTATATGAATGTAACGATGGATAAAAGAATTTTTATGCAACTTAGTCATGTGTTACGTGACAATCAATTACGCAACACGAATCGAAATGTTAAGTGATTAAAAAGATCGGACGATATTTGTACTCCAAATTAACCCAAAATTGCACGACTAAATTTGTGAATGTTATGTACACTTGTAATTGATATACATATCAGAGAGTATAGAAATGTGTATGTTTTCGTGATTGTCATATACGTGTATTGTAAGTGTACTTGTTAAATAAATAAAAATAAATTTTTTTATTAAAAATAATTAAAATAATTCGAAATATTATTTATTATAAGTTCCAACAGTTTTCCACCGTTTTCAAAAGAAAGAGATGATATAATGTTAGAATAGTAGGGATATATGTTAAGAAAAACAAGGATAGCAAGTTGCTAGAGCGAGAGGACGAGACCCTCTTATCAATTGACGCCATATCCTGTAGATAAAATTTGCTTAAAACTTTACATTTTTGTTTAATTAAACATTTTAATACAATAGTTTTTAAAGTAATAGCAGTAGGGTGCCCTCGAAAATTAATGCTTGTGTTGTTCATCAGGCGTTTGGAAGATAATCTTCTGACAGAACTACCGATCGCCGTGCATCGACTACCGCTGCTCGAAGACCTGTAAGTATAAATTTACGCAAAAAAAACTACTTCGTTGCTACTGATTTAACGTTTTAAAACTGGATACATTAGTGATATGCTCAAATTTTTATGGGTTAACAGTTTCGGATGTTAACGTATTTTTTTAATATAAAACCGAAGAGACAAACGAATCTAGAGTGCACCTGGTGGCAAGTGGATACCAACAACCTACTTCAAAACAAGAAGAGTACAGATTCGTTGTCGCTGCTGAGACCTACGATGGAATGCCTCACAGCCTGCAATTTTCCTGGCTCTCTGTACACTTTAGACCGGAGCAGCAGCACAGCAGCACCAGCACTGCTAGTTGCCAGTAGAAATAGGTAAGAGGACGGCACCTGCCCGAGCAGATTCCTGGGCAAAAATAGGAGTCCCAGCACCAGTAAACTTACATATTTTTTACTCATCATACGCGCACGTTCCCTCATGATGTTACCTTCGTCTACGAGTATGTGATAAATCAGCACTTAAAATTTCTGTTTACAATTTCAGTGATGACCCCGAGAATAGAACTTTGTTTTCTCGCCCATGAAATTAACAAGGAGCGCTGATGTGTATGTTCAGATATAAATATGCACAATTCATATATATGATGTATGGAGCAATATTATATATTCATAGGCAGAAGCAAAAATAACTATAAAATTATAACTTTTGATACACCAAATCGTTTAAAAATAAAATAAAAAAAAGACGTGTGGCACTCGGGGACTGCCGCGGTAAAGCTATTGCATAGCATTTTGTATCAACTTATGCAATTATAATTATTATTTATTTTATTTATGCAGTATTTCTTTTTCTTTGATATTAATTCAAGTTACACTTTTTGAGCGTGGTGACCGATAAGAAAAAAAAAAACAATTTTTTTTCTTTTATTAAATAAATAAATAATAAATGCACTTTGTTCATTCATATTCAAAACACTTTATACACAAATTTTACAAGTACAGCTATTCACTGTTGTACATAAATACCTATACACCTATATACTTTCTCATAAACAGCTGCTTATGTATTCCTCCGATTTCGGAGCAGCTCGTCTCGATTCGTGCGAGCTTCGTAGAGTCGTACAATACGTCTAGTTGCACGCACACAAACACCGTGTCGAAGACTGCCGAAAAGAAACGACGTTAGACAATGCACGGCCTTCAAGCCACACCTCCGTGCCCGTCGGAGTGGGGAACGTGAGATTTTTTCGTTACGGAATTTCTGGATTCGGTCCCCGCGCTCAGGGCCCGCGATAGAAGCTATGCAATAGCTTAATAAAAAACAATTGCGTGCGATAACTACGTTGTAGGTAAAAGGACAACCTGGTTATAAAAAGTTATATCTGAAGAATGAAGCGACGAAATATAATAGCTAACTTAGTAACATATCTAGAATTTACCTAATTTCATTTGGTATAAGTATTTTTTATTTTAAAATTTGGTTTTTGTAATAAAAAACTACTTCGGAAATATGATAGCTTCGGCAAAAAATAAGCTTTATATGATTTAGGAAGTTGGAAAAAGGATAGAACCAGACTGTAGCGTAATATACTCGTAGGTGCAGTGCAAATGATTTGGCTCGACTAGGATTGGACTACCGTTGAACAGAATACGAGCATAAAATAGGGGTATAATGGTGTAATGTGTAAATTTCGTATGGTAATAACTAGAACCGAAGACTATTTACTGGTTATAGCGAGGCATTATATCTTTATATTGGGGTTGGGTTTTGATTCTTAATTGAGGATAGATGTGTGTTTTTTTATAGAGTAAAAGTGACGTTGGACGTGGACGGTGTGCTCATCACCGTCCACCTAATTGGTAAGAATATGCTGAAGACAACAGACATCTACATCTATCCTCGATTAAGTATCAATAGGCAGATGCCTTGTCACTCTCGGGACTAAGATGGAATGTCTCGGTTCCTGTAAAAAGTTTCGCCGGTTTTTTTTACATACCTTAACAAACACAGTAGTGTTATGCAGCCGTGTTCCGGTATTCTCTAAGAGCGCGGTTCTTGTTCGATGCTACACCTACGTAGTTGCAGCGTGCCTCTACCACGTAGAGCAGATGTCGCAGGGCCGCAGCGTCTTACTGTCAGTTGGACTGTGTTTTTTTTATAGAATAGGGTGACAAACGACCTCATTAATAATCAATATACAAACGCGTTGTCATCCGTGAGTATTCTGTAAGAGCGTGGTCCTAACTCGGTCGAGCTGACCCATTCATGCTACAATTATAATATAGTTGCAGAGTGACTCTACCATTTGTCCCTCTTACGCGTTTTAAAGACGTGTTACGAGTAGCGTGTGTGTGGTGGTACAGTGGATATGGTGTGCTCATGCGCAGGTCGGTGGCGCGCAACCGCGTGGAGGTGGTGGGCGTGGGGCTGCGCGCGTGCTCGCGGCTCGCGCGGCTTGACCTGCGCGCCAACCCGCTCTCCGAGCTGCACCCTCACGCGCTCATGCATCTGTCTCGCCTCACCACGCTGTGAGTGACGCTGCATTATTATCTTCATCATTATTAACTTTGACTCAGCTTGACTTGTGGCGCTGAGAGCCGTGGGTTGTAAGCCCGCTCGGAACAAGTATTTGTATGACCTACAAATAACTGCTCTGGGTCCGGATGTTAGTCCTTAAGGGATTTATGTTTGTAAACTGCCTCCACGATACAGGAGAAAATCCTAGTGTTGAATCTTTTTTAAATAGAATAATTTAATTAAAATTTTTAATTATAAAATGTCAACTCAAGTTCTTGACGCAATCACACACACATTTTTCTTCTTGTTTTTGTTATCATAATTTTTATCATCCCGTAGAAAGTGACGGCTGAGCACGTCAATATGCACCTAAAGCTATGCAAATAATTAGAAATGCATATTTGTAAATGTTTGCGTATTTTTACAATAATTTTAGTGAGGTTTTCGCTTGAAAAAGTTTATAGTACACGAATGTATGCACATACACATGTGCATTCCCTATTTCTATTCCTTAACCTTCATAGTCCGGGTCCGCGAGGTTGAAATAACCGCCAAGTGCCAGAATCTTGGCAGTTGCTTACAGATGGCAGCAGCATCTTCCTAATAACAAATAAAAATAAAAACTGCTGTCGCCAACCCGTTGCCAAGCGTAGCATTTAGCGGATCCCATAGGAACGGACCCATCCCGCATACAGCGGATATCGCCCCTATCGAGCAGTCTATGGTGGAGGCTTTAACGCAGTGGACTTTTCATATTATACTATAACGGTAACGGTAAAGACGTTGTAACGATAAAATGAAACAGAAAGATTTTCTATACGCGTTTTTTAAAAGAAGAAAACTGTTAATTCCGAACGTATTTTGTTTTAAAAACTAAGTGTTGGGATCCATTGAGCATCTGACTATCCTTTTAAAATCTGTATTAGAGAGATGTTTAAGCCGCCTAATGTTTGCTATAAATAGCTGTAAAATGTGTTTATTTATATATGTTTAAGTGAATTAGTGAACATAAATATACTCGTAAATCTAATAAAGCCGTAGGATAGCTCGAGGCGGGTGGTCTGCTACATTTTACGAGTATTTACCCATCGACAACACTGCAAATGGTTTGCTGCAACTTTAAGTGCATGGACGGAATCTCGTGTGGAAACCGTGTGTGTGGATCAGATGAAAAAAAATACTAACGTTGCGTTGGTACTTTAATTTTAAGGTATATTTAAGGTATTATTGGAGTAAACTTATTAGAAATTCAGCGTTTTATTTTTAATTATGTATTTATTTATTTTTATAAAATAATGTCGGATTGCATGGTCTTCGATTAATTCATACGAGTACAACAATTTTGCTGGGACATTTGATCCACATCATTGGCTCTATTGAAGGGCTCTATTGAAGGGCTCCAATGCTCTATTTTTTAGTTTAAATGGGTTCGATTCAGGATTCTGTTATGTTTCCAAAACCTTCCTTCCATTAATGTAAATAGTTTTACTTATCTTTAAAATTAATATAAACTTACCTCTAATCATAATTTCCTATTGTAAATATTTTGCTGTATTTTTTATTTCCTATTCATATGCGTGTAGGAACTTAAATGAGCTATGGAAACGAGTGAATCATAATTTCGGTACTCGACATCTAATACGGATACTGTTGTATTTGTGTGCTTTTATCATATTCAAAATTATTTTAACATTCGTGGGTATGGCGGCAAAATATCTCAATAATATTAATGATAATGTCCTCTAGATTGAATTTCCGTGACGGTGGCCTGCGCAGGATAGGATAAAAGTGCCCAAATGTAAATGCGTATATGTGTGTGCATGCACAAGCAAAAGTGCACTCCGTATTCCCTCCCTCTCATAGTGACGGTAAACCGACACGACCGGAGTGAGATCAGGCGCAAGTCCACGGGTCCACGTCTTTTCCGAGGTACGAGGCTGCAACATCGCCAGCTTCCTGAATCCGTGTTACTACTGAGAATCTTTTGACTGAAAAAGTCAACAACTGATCTTTGAAACGACCCGGGTTTCGAACCCGAGACGTCACTATCATCAGGCGTGTTCACTTCCACTAGACCAACGAGACGGAAACGGAAACTTTTTTATTCAATGTAGATTATAACAATACTTATTGAAAGTCACTTTTTTCATTTACCACTGGTTTGGAAAAAAAACCTCTGTCCTGGGAAGAACCAGCAAGAAACCCAGCGGGACTATTTTTTTTCCAATATAATACCTTATAGTCATGTTTACAATTAGCATCACGAGACAAATTAGAAATAGCTTGGTAGCGATCACCCTTCCCAGGGGTTATTATCATCCATAAATTCCTTAATATTATAATAACCCTTTCTATACAAACTTAGTTTAATAACATTTTTGAACTTTGTGTATGACTTATTTATTTATTTATTGAGGCAATCAATATCCCAATAATTGCCACCAGTCAATATATTTTAGGCATTTTAAGTCTAATATGAAAAATTAATACAATGAATTCTTCTTCTGTAAAATTACTAAACATTTTGAAAGGACGGGATTCTGTAATTTGTCTAAGGGCGTCTGCGAGTGGCTTAAAACGTTGTGATTATATAGTCTTTGGAGTGGCTGTCAGCCGTCTGTCGACAGATAAGAAAACTTGTGTTTGTGGTGTGTCTGACACCGTTAGCCACCCTCCGTATACAACGTGCTCCTACAATGGTGACTTTATTTTAACACGCATATAACTTTTCACATTATCATTTTATGAAGATATTATATTAACATTAAACGTTATTATTTACGGATTTATTTGAAATTTTAGAAAATAGCATCTTAGAGCAACTGTACGTAAAAAACTGTCGCGCAGCGGTAATTTGGCGGGGTCACGGATCATAGCATTGCATCATTGAAATTAAAACCAATAAGAAATACTATTGAAGGAAAGAAACTTTGTCAGCAAGCGGGCGGCGTAAGCAACGTGTGCCCCTCACCCCGCCGCACCGAAGTCGAATTATTTTTTTGCATTTCTAGTGGTCGCCAAACCTGTGTCCTTGACACACATCCTTACAGTAGTGCCCATAATTACGTCTACGTACTAATATTTTTGTGAATGTTTCGGTGATAAAGATGTTTACCTCTTGTTTTATTTATTGAGATTTGTGTAATTATGTTATGGTACTGCGATAAAGACACTTTGTTTTGTTTTCGTTTTCTAATCTAGTAGGTAAGTTTACATCTTTTGTGATACGGTCGCTTTTATTTGTGTTATTAGTGATTGTTTAAACTTGTGATCGTAATGGCAAATACACATCCGAACTACACAACAGCTGAATATGCGGGTACTTATAGTTCATAAAAGATACCTGGGTCTCTGCGACAGCTGTCAGTAAAAATCACGCCTATGAAGTCCTGAATTTCTTAGTAGTACAGACACACAGTACCTGTCAATGTCATACTTTATGGGCATGTCGACCTAATTAGTGCATGCCAATACAGACAGTACCTGTCAATGTCATTCAAAAAATTTTGTATTTACTTTATTAAAAGCAATCTTAAATATATCTTAAAGGTAATGCTAAGTAAATCACAAAGAGGAAGCACCGAACTAATTCTTAAGGAATGTTCAGTACTTAGTGTAAGACAGCTTTTTGTCATGACTGTTATACTACGTAAGCACATTCATTCATAATTTTTTATTTTTTATTTAACTTAACATGTTCATGTCTTATAGCGAAATAATCTGTCATTTTTTACTGTATTTGTACTGCTCAGGGTGGAAGACGCTGACGGCTGTACACAGTCTATATTAGTATGGCCGTTAACGCCAACTAAATACTTTTAAATGGATTATTTTATCCTAAAAACTTGATTAAAAATACAATTAATTGATAAACTTATCTAGATAAGTTAGAGTCGTTATTTTAAGTTTCTTAGATAGATTGTCTTGAACCTAAATAATTGTATACCTATTAATAGATAGGCGAAGCCGGGGCGGGTCGCTAGTAAACAATACAATGTTACATTACTAGCGGATGTTGTACGAGTTTCTTGAATATTAATACAGATTCAGAATTTCTAAATAAAAACATGAATAATTATGAACCACACATTTATCGGGAGTATTGACGAGGGATCTCCGTAACACATCTCTTTTTTTAAATGTGTTGCGGACATGCTCGTTTTATTTTTTTGTTTTTATAGATTAAACCTTAATAAAGCATTTCACTTCATTTAGGAGATACAAATATTCTAGTGAAAGGTCACTGACCTTCTTGAAAAAGTTTTTAGTCTGTATTTGTTGAATAAAGCAAATGTCAGTCTCTTGCAAAATACAAATTTAATTGTAGGTTTGAAATATATTCAGTGTAGAAATTGCAAGTCCCTAACGTCACAGGAACGCGAATAAATAATTATTTTGTTAATAAACGAAAAAAAATTATATAAAGTTATCTATTTACGGGTTGCGTTTTTTTGTTTGCACAATATACTTATGTATAGTACCTCCAACGTGAGAAAATTCTAAATATGTGTCTATCGAAATCTCGTAGATATTGCGTTTCTAAGTTTTTTTATTATTTCTATGGGAATAAGGTTGTCACAAAGTAGTAAATATTTTAATCGATTAAATCGATTATGCTAGCAAATGCTAAACGCCTATGATATATTATTGTTTACGTGGTAGAGCCATGCTGCAGTTATATTAGTAGTATAGTTGTAGCACGAATGGGTCGGCTCGACCGGGGAAGGACCACGCTCTCACAGAATACCAGCGTAAAATAGCAGCTTAATGCTGCTGTGTTTCGTATGGTGAGTACAGAGAACCGGAGACCCTTTTTACTGGAAACGAGGCATTCCACCTAAGTCCTCTCGGATGACAACGCATCCGCATTTTGATTCGTAATCGAGGATAGATGTAGATGTTTATGGGCCACAGCAACCACTTACCATCAGGTGGACTGTGTGCTCGTTTGTCAACTTATCCTATAAAAAAAATATATATCCCCGCTATCGGATTGAATTACCATTTCGTCAGTCGTCAGCGTGATATAATTTGCTTCAAGCCCTTCTGATTCTAATTGGCTGTAGTGAACCTGGGCTGTTGTTACGCTTAAGAGTTGAAGCAATGGTTTCGGTAAGGGCAAAGATTTTTTTATGTTTATGACGTGTACTAAATGTTAACCAGGATAAATAACGATCCGATGATTCTAATGCACGGTAAAATAAGTTCTTCTGTCCAATTTCCGGGTATGGTGTTGTCGATCATAGCGCCAGTATTTGTTTCTTTACTCGCCTGCTTGCACGGATAACATACCCATGGGTAACGTGCTAGCGTCTATGAGTTGCCGGCCATGCATTAATATTTTGTGCATAGTGACGGACATATAAAACCAATAGTATTGATCTACATACTTCGCAGCTAGAGACTTGCAAAAGTGGTCTAATTTTGCGGCATCTGTTATTAACCCACTCGACAGCACTACCAAAATAGTATGGAGGTCATCCACCAGCCAGGTCTCTATACCTAAGATATCTACAAATGTTTGGCGATGTTGGTCTGATAGTGCTGTTCGTGCTGTGTTCCCATCATTGGTTGTCCCCGAATTTGAAAGAACAACTTCAACCAAAAGTGACCTTTTGTCTCTTATTTCAATCTGTATTCTTTTTTCCGCTCCACTACAATTGTGGCTTCCGATGATTTTTTATTAACTCTCCACTTGATAACTGCTGCGTCATTTTTGTACACCAAGTGAAGTAAGAACTCAAAAATTCTTATGCAGGCATGTAAGGTTATTAATCCATGACGTAAGGCTTCTGAATTTCCGGGTTTGTTCACGACAACATCCAACTTATTAAACTTTGTTGCTGTAGCTCCACTACAAATACAAAGTAATTGCGAAATTGTTCCCGTAATAAGTTTAAATACTTTAACATCTATAACGGTTGAATATTATTTGGGATCTGAGATTATACTTTGACCTTCATCAGTTTCCGCATAAAGTGATGTTAATTGATTTATATCAGCCTCTACCCGATTTTTTCTTCGAGTATAAGTTCTTTCGTCTCATTTCGTTACTGGATCCTCAACGGATGACAAAACCTGTAGGATTATGGGTTTGAGTTAGACCACAACACAAAGCCGTCATTCGTTTTCCATTGTAAAATGATATACGTTGTTGTAAATAAACAATTTTCATTTTCGTTATCATCATCTTAAGACTTTTGTTTATAAAAAGACTGTCCTGTACTGCCATCGAACCCCCAAGAACCCTCAAGTGTACAAGATACTATGTTTTTTTGCTTTTGTTGGCAATATTGTGAAATTTTTTCATTACCTAACTTTATGATTCGGCGAAATGTGTGTAGTAATAAACTTAAAGCGAGACACTTGCTTCCCTTTCAATAATAATCAGGATAACACATTTTTTTTTGCTAGTTTTAATTTATAATATGGAGGATAAGCTAAGAAGCCCCTGTCTTTCAAATCTTTCTGTATAATAGTGTCTTCCACATCTTCCACAGTTAGTTTTCTATTAATTACGAAAGAAAGGGCTTCATCAGGGATATAGGGTTTCGGTTCGGCTTTCGCTTTAATAGGCGTTACATTTTTTTTAGATCCAGATAAACTTTTCAGACACTCATTGATTACGAACTCTTATCCTTGAGCAGAGCTTTTGTTAAGTTTTTCTCCGCCTAATTCGTCAGTTACTATTTTCGACATCATCTTAATTATTTTTTACTGCGGCTGATCTTGAAGCGACTCTTCGAAACTATTTCGAATACGACGCATTTGACGGGAGCTCCTTTCATCTGAAGCAGATGGAGTGTCATTAGATGATCCGGGTATTGATTCCTCTTGGTGGTTACTAAATATGTTCGAAATTGATGGAGCTTCATATGAAGTTTCAGGTATCGGTTTGGTCAGCAGCATATCGCTTACAGAACCCATTCTTAATCGTTCTGGTTCTTGAGGTCTTAAAAGGTCAAGAGAAGTGAAACTATCCATACTTTTAATTGATTCTATATGATTTTTTTTTCTATTTTGATTGGTATTGGAACCTTGAAAATAGTAGCAAGCCATTTCTCATTCTTTTTACTAAAACGTAAAAAAATTTTTTGCGGTCATTATAAAGTTTTTCGCACTTACACTTAAATTTTAAAATATTGCCTTTGAGGCTTTTATTTTGTACATCGAAATTGTTGGGAATTTCTGTTGGATACAATTTATTTAAAATAATCATTGTCCGTTCGTTGATTTTAAGGTTTTGGTTTTGACCCATATTGTCGGGTCTTTTCAACCAAAACATTATAAATCTTCAATTTCGTAAGTGTATCGGATCGGACGGATCCGACCGTTTTCAAGCTTAGGTCGTCGGTGATCATTGCCACTAGCTGACCAGCATGAAGGTTGGCGGTTGGTGGTTAACCTCATGTCCCCCTTGCATTAAGTCCTCTAGTCGAGGCCCAGACGGACGTCCCCCAGCAGGGACGGGTCAGTGCCTGCTGAGACAAAACAGTGCCATGGGTCTTTAACGGCTCCATGACACTTCACCCGCGTTTCTCCAGATATTATGTATAGGAATTGGGTTTTTTAGTATTTGCCTAACAAGGGCGGATAGACCCCTTACATAATATCCATGTGGGACTGGGAAAATAGATTAGATTTTAAACAAAACTTCATCGAAAATAATATTTAAAAAAGCAGTGATCGAGTTTAATAGTAAAAACTTTTTTAATTTTGACTTGAACTTTCTGCACTATTTTTCCTTAAACGACGAGTGTCGAAAATGCTGCGATTGCCTGACAATTGAGTCATAAATAATGAATCATAATTAGTAATGTTTGCATGAAGTAAGTATTGTATGGTGCACACAGGCTTGATTGACAACCCTAACCCACAATTGCAAAATTCCGTATTTCCGAAATCCTGGGTTTATTGCATCTGTTTTTTTTTTCTTGTGTCGATGGTTATTATAGTTATCAACATTTAGGCATTTAAAAAAAACGCGACAGTGAAGAGAATCGCTGGAAAAAAATATGAAAATTATAGAAAAAAAATTCTCGCCCATGTGAGCAAGATTTTTAAAGTTTTTAAGAAAAAAAAATTATTCTTATCGTGAATTCCTACAACACCTTAAATTATTTAATGTATAAATCAAATCCAAAAACGAGATATTATATTTCTATGGTTTTTAAGGATTTTTCACGATTTTATAAATTTCTCTTATACTATAGTAGTTAGAGCCGGGGAGTTTTAATAAGAGTTGATTATTAGCTGTCCAAAAAACACATAAAACGAGCATGTCCTCAACTAAGGCAAAATGACACTGTGCGGTACCAACTACGTAGCACACGTCTTCAGCACTATGGGTGGGACTTCATTGGGCCTACTCGACTTGCTAACGACCAGGGAGAAGAGTGCTTTGTGAACCGAGCGCTGGGTAAACCGCACATCCGGCATGGAGAACTGACACCGCGGGATGGTCGGCGGGGTGTTCCTCCGTCATCGAGAGTCGAGTTGGAGGCAAAGAGAGAGCCTAACAATTTGACTTTCTTCTTTTGCGGCATGGGCCAGTGAGTATTCCTCTCTGTTCAGAGATGGAAGAGATGACTGACAGAAACTCCCTTGGACAGCCTTAGCGAGAGACCAGAATGCACGGGTTTCCGAAGGAAGGCGAACTAGTTTCTCGCCAATTCTGCCGATGTGCTCAGACCTTGCCTTGGCAATGATTTTTTTGAAGACCCTGGAGGCGGAATTACACTTTCTTTAAGAGCGTTATGTGTTTACATCCCTAGATGTTGATGCGCCAGCCCAGACCTGGTCGCACTCCTGCTTATAGCGTGATGCTATTTTATAGGAGTGACCAAACCATGGCTGGGGACTGTCTCCGATGGGCACCACAGAGGATGAAACAAACAGTTCCATACCCTGAAGCACCACATTTGCAACAAAATCAGCAACAACGCTGGGATCGTCCGGCGAGAAGCAAACCCCCCCCCCATGGTTAGGATTCAAAAAAAGACTGCATCCTATCCCAATCGGCCGATCTATACTGCCAAACACGACGGCAGTCTGCAGAATCCAACCGCGACGTTAATGTGACTGGTACTATACTCCGGACAAGACAATGATCCGACGAGCCTAGAGGGGCGTCGACGGAAACCTGATACCCGTCCGGATGAGAGGTCAAAAGAAGGTCCAATAGGGAAGGTGAAGAAGAATCAGGATCTCTTTGGATGGGATCTGCTGTATCACGGAATCTGTAGACATTTGGACGTGGTCGATAAGTCGGTCTGTTTCGTTATTACCGCTATGGGACGTATATAGGCACCCATAGACGTGGGGATAGTCGTCGCTATCTACGCGCAGCCATAGGATGGACAGGTCCCTACCTTCAAGACTGCCGAAGCGTCGAAAACAGATGTTCTCTCTAACGTATACACAAACTCCAGCCCGGAGCACAAAGGAGTGTTCTAATTTGAACCCCAGATAGATATGAATTATTAATATAAGGACACCTGAGTCTTGGTTAAAAAAAAGGCAAGGCCGGTTTTGCCATCTCCAGATGGTAGTGGACAGCTTTAAGGTTGGAATGAAGTCCCTTGGTGTTGCACAAATTCACGAAAAGCGTGGCAGAGATCGCCTCGGTGTGGTTGCTCCGCTTGCCCCGAGCAGTTTTAGTAGCGAGTGGAATTGCCCCCCCCCCCCACAATACGTTGGGCAGCCTGAGCACCCACGCTCAGGAAGAGTAAGTTTTTTATTAATTCCGCTATCATGTTAAGGGGGGGGGGGAATTAGGCCTCCGGCCACCTGCACTTACCAAGCGAAACACAGAGGTAAATTTGTACTTCACGCTGGTATTCTGTGAGGTTGAGCAAAAGCTCCGCGTGGCTCTGCCACTATTAAAATTAGGGTGACAAGTGAGCACACAGCTCACCTCATGGTAGTGGATACTCTGGCCCATAGACATCTACCTCTATTCGCGATTGAGTATCAAATTGCGGATGAGTTGTCACCCCTGAGGACTAAGATGAAATGCCTCGTATCCAGTAAAAAGGGTCTCAGGTTCTCTACACTTTATGTAAAAATACAGCAGCAGCAAGCTACCAGGGGGCGTAGTCCTTCCCCGGTCGGGCCGACCCGCTCGTTCACAGCCATAAGAAGTATGGCTCTATCACGTAAAGCAGAATAAGAGTGAAGTAAATTGCTTCCATAGATCTTTACGAGGAGACCATGGCTTGTGTAGAATATTATAAAAACATAATAATCGGGAGTTCATGCATAGTTTAGTCAAGAGCTACTTGAGATCTTTACTAAAATATAAATGCGTGGCAGTAAAGCTGAAGCATGAATTGATTACATAAAAATCGTTTGGCGGCTCTATATAAGGGTACCGTTGAAAAAATATCAGCTTTTCGGTTGCATTATAATAACATTTGCAAATAACTAAAATGTTTTCTTGCAAACTTTCAAGTAAATTTTTAAATTATATCGCATAATCCCTCTACTGCTCACATGTATACGTAAGTAAGTAAATGTATGTATGTTTACCTATATGTATATATGTAAGCTTGCTTAGTGTGAGGCATAGATATAATAATGAAGGAGATATGCCCAGTAGTTGAAAATGTATCGGAACCCGGTGTCTCCAGTTGGCCCCTACCACGCGCCAACTACTACACAAACTGATCAGCAATAGTAATAGATACGCAGTCACGCATACACTCGTGTTTAATAAATCATAACGTACTACACAATTAATTATAAACCATATCTCTAAAACCACAACGTCCATTTACCATTCACCGTACTACTTACTCACACAAAAATATTGGACACTATCGTTGTGCTGTAAAAAAGCCATTTATTTTACATATGCGTTAGTGATTGACTAAATTGGAAAGTTATCGATTGTTTCATTTAAACCAAAATTCTACTAAATTTTTTTGGGCCCTAAATATAAAATAAATAAAAACAGTAAAAAATGTTGGTTTACAACATAACGGGATTTTTTCTATCTATCATGGCGGATTGAAGTAGTACGTATTTTGGAACCATGCTATGGTGCTTACTCAGTGACCTGTAAAGTTAGCTATTTGTGCAGCACTTGACGTTTTTATATTTCTGGGCTGGCATTTTTGTCAAATAGTGTAATCTTAAATTAATGTATTTTTCCATTACTGCTTTTATAAGAAATATAATGTGATTATTCATCGGAGACTGCTCAAAATCAACATTAAAAAAATTAAATTTGACAAACCCTTTGCCATGAGTTCCTGTTTGAATTTTTTAGTTTTGATTGCTTATTTATCATTGGCGAGACAAGCTGTTTTTATGATAATTTTCATCGACAATCAGTACTAGTTTTTGTAGGGAACGAAGTCAGGTGGCCTTTCAGTGGCATCAATCCATTCCTTTTTCAAATTAGCATCATTTGGCAAGCCGAAAGGTGCGATTAATAACCTATTTATTATTTTCATATATCCTAAACTACTTTTTAACCTCACTATGTACTAGGCAGGTTTTGCTTGGCGATCTTTTGTTATAAAAACTCCTGGATAGTGAAAATATTTTTAAATATATGAAAACAAATACACACTCATGTCTAACAAATAAATATATAACCATGCCGGTTAGGTATTTATGATACATTCGAAGCTTTTGAAAAATGTATATTATAATAAACCCCAAAACCATAAAAAATATGAAAATTTTTCGAAGATAAGGCATAATATACGATAATTCAAGCATAAGAACACTCCATCGATTATTAACATAAAATTTAATCAACTTACTTTACGACCTTTGGTTACGCATTCAGCGTAATGGTTGCTGTAAAATATTTAAAATAAGTAAAAAACATTATGTCACATCGGTCTTCCTACCGGGTTGAAACGGTGGACAAATTGGAGAATAAACTATAATAGCAATTCGCCAATCCACATTATTGTCGATAGTGGATCTGCACACGCACATTACTAGCACGTCACAAGATACAGCGGCCA